ACAAAAAGATTGTTCCACAACAGGGTTATGTATCTAGAACAGAAGTTTGCTAGCATCTGGTGAGGGCCTCCAGCTGAGTCACAGCATAGTGGAGGGCTCACATGGTGAGAACAGTTAGCTCAGCTCCCTGCTCCTCTCCTAAAATGGCTAATGGTGCCATCATGAGGCTTATCCTCATGACCTTATCTAGTCCTAATGGTCTCCCAGAGGCTCTGCCTCCAAAAATCCCAACATATGAACTCAGGGATTCTGGCACATGAGTTCTGGTACCACAATGAATTATTACTCGGTCCCCTCAAGGCCTCCAGCTGGGCTCCAGGGGTCTCAGATCAGGGATTCCTGAGAAATGTCATTGATGGTTGGATCTGAGCGCTCAGCTAAAATTTTATGTTTCTTCCCAGGTTTTCCTTCTGAGAATCCCAGCAACTAGCCAAGGATACAGAAGCCCAGAGGGAAGGCCAATGGTGATAGATGAAACAACCAAGGGGGCTGGAGAGATGGCTCCGTGGTTAAACACAGTCTGCTCTTGCAGAGGAGTGGAGTTCAGTTCCTAGAATCCACATTGGAGTGGCTCACAACCGCCTGAAACGCCAGCTACGAGGGTTCTGTACCTCTGGTCTATAAAGACACTGCCATACAGTCACACTCAAAAATAAGAATAAATCAAAAGGCAGATCAAGAGAGGAGGAAAGGGAGGAAGAGGGGGGAAGGAAGGAGAGGAAGAGGAGGAAGAGGAGGAAGAGAAGGGAGGAGGGAGAAGAGGAGGAGAGGAAGCATTGCCTCCGATGCCAAGGAAAGAGAAGCCAGCCCCACTACCACCTGGCTGTAGGGGTGGAGCCCACAATACTGTTCATGCCCCAAAGGGGCGTGGGCAGGGGTACAGGACAGGTATAAGGATATAAGGAAAAGCAAAAGCAAAAGCCCTCTCTCTTGGAAGCTAGCCAGGTTCCCAGAACTCCTATCCCTCTGTTTATCTTATAAGTAGATTTAATAAATATATTAGACCTCCTTTTTCAGATAGCATTATTCCCATCATCACCTAGTGTCTGACTTGCGGCCTCAAAAATTCAAGACAGTAAACATCTGTCACTCCAGTCACTTTGGCCACTTAGGCTGCTCTTCTGCCCTGGCACAACCAGCCAGACAACAGTTCTGTGCCTGCCATACTCTACAAGACATACACTGTGGGCCATGGAGCCCCAACCTGGGCATCTGTGTTCCCACAGGATAGCCTGGCCTGTGCGAGCAGAGAAAACAGCTCACAGCCTGTGACCAGGAACCCCACACCACACTGGAGCAGCAGCCTTTTTCTGTGCCGCCTTGGTTTGCTCTGGGGCTGAGGGTGGAACCCAGGCCTTGAGGAGCTAGGCTAGGCTAGTGCTCTACCATGGAGCTACACACCAGCCTTTCTTCAAAAAAACTTCTTTTGGAGACACTGTTTCAAAACTGGCTTTAAACATTCACAATGGTCCAGAAAACCCTTGAATTTTCCCTCGCCTTCCGCCTCCGCCTCTGAGTGTTGGAATCACAGGAGTGTACCACCACACCTGGCTCTTTCTTCTCTCTTAATGATGACATGGGTCCTTCTTAGAGTCAACAGCACTGTCTGGTAGGTAAAATTCGACAGCTGACAGATCTCATTGTTATTCTGCAACTGCAGCCGGAGGGCATTGCTTGAGAGGACTCACTCCTACTTTTAGTTCTCTCTCAGCAACTGTAACTCTGGGGGATGGAGATGGGAAGACCCCTGGCACTCACAAGCTGACTGGCTTAGCCTTTTGGTGAGTCTCGTGTCCCAGTGAGAGACTCTGTCTCAGAAAGCAAGGCAGAGTGCTTCTGAAAAAGACACCCAAAGCTGACTTCTATCCTTCACACATGTGTCCATCTGCACGTATGAACACACACACACACACACACACACACACACACACACCACAAAACACACAGAGGATACATTTTAATTAGTTGTTTTCTCATCTAGGAGGCTTTTCTCATACGTCTGACTTGAGGCGGTTTCCAGTGTCTAAAGCTGCCTAGTTAACTGCTGCAGACAAACTCTGCATTTCTGTGTGCAGTATCTGTGACACGGGCCATGTCTCCCCGAAAGCAGCAGCCCTGCTCTCCCCACCGTGGAATGATTTATTCACTTGTTGTAATTCATGGCTAGGAAAACCTTAGAATGCTCAGAATAAGCAAAAGTGCTTCTGCAGCTGCAGCAGATGGCCTGTCCCCCAACACTAAGTGGGCCCCGAGCCACGACCAGGCAGAGGGGGCAGCCCCATCTTGAAGCCATTAGTGCCTCAAAGGGGCACGCACTGGACTGGGATGTCCTTGTGAGATGCCCCAAGACTGGGCCAGTGCCCAAGTCGACCCGTGACCCCGGAGTCGGCCGCCGTCTGGGCCCCTTGCAGGCTGGAGCACTTTTGCTCACAGGACTGGAGCCTCACAGAAAGGGAAGAATGAAGTGCTAAGAGAGTCCTAATGAGCCGTGTTACAGATGTGTAAAACAGCTGGGGGGATGATGTCACAGCAACGATCCACACTCACCCCGCTGCCTCTGCTACTTGCTGCTCTTATTGAAACCAGACTCAGGAGGAGGAGGAGGAACAGAGGAGGTGCACCATCCCAGCCTCACCACCTCCTGGTCCTAATTAGGTAGGCCGGGGCCCCAGCTGTGTCCCTGGCCTTGCCAGGTGATTCCACACGTCTAGGTCTATAAGCCAGACAAGGCCTGAGCCCTTCAGCCATCTCTGGGGGGACGAGGGTGATTGAATTTGTTGCTTGATAAGTCCAACAGGCCCTAGGTGTCTGGGGAGAAAAAGTCCTTGGGGAAAAGGTCCCCAAAGGGCAAGGATGAATCACAGATTTTGTGTACTTTCAATTGGGGTGCAATTCTCTGATGACATCAGTCCCTGCCAAGGCTGTGGGCCCAAGACTTGTTTTCCAAAGTGAACACAAGGGATCATCGTGTCCTCTTGACCTAGGACATCCGTTTCCCCTTGGTCTAAGAGGGAAAGGGAACAGTTTAAGTGCCTACTATGTGCCAGCAGGTTCAGCAAACGCCCTTCAAAGACTGTTGGTGAGAAAACTGGCTCAGACAGCAAAGCAGCTTATTCAAGTCACAGGGCTGGAATGTGAAGCGGTACCTGCCTGGCCAGTCGTGCGCAAACCCATCCCACATCCCCATCCCCACTCAGGTTCCTGAGTCTCCGCCCTCCCACGTGAGATCCCCATACTGTTTCTCCTGACAGCTGCACTGCCCGACACTTATTCTTGCTTGTTGGCTTTGAGTTCTATCTTTTCCTTTTTTCTTAGAGAGAGAGAGAGAGACAGAGAGAGAGAGAGAGAGAGAGAGAGAGAGAGAGAGAGAGAGAGAGAGAGAGAGAGAGAGAGAGAGAGAATATGAGTGTTTGCCTGCAGGTATTTATGGGCACCCCATATACAACTGGTACCCTTGGAGGCCAAGAGAGGGCATTTGAACCCCTAGGACTGGAGCTACAAACCGTTGTGAGCTGCCATGTGGGTGCTGGGAATTGAACCCAGGACCTCTGGAAGAGCAGCCAGTGCTCTTAACCACTGAGCCATCTCCCCAGTATTGATCTTTGGAACAAGGTCTCACTGTACAGCCTAAGCTGACCTCAAACTTGTGATCCCCGTGTCTGCCCTCCAAGTGCTGGGATTGCAGGTGTGTGACACTGCACCAACTGACATCTGCTTTACCTTCTTTTCTATTTATTTTATTTTTAAATTTTATTTTATTTTAAAATACGTTTTTGTTAAAATAGAACTATTCTACTTTTCTCCTTCCCTTTCCTCCCTTCAGCCCCTCCCAAGTCTTCCTTTCAAAATGATAGTCTCATTATTATTATTATTATTGTTATTATTATTGTGTGTGAGAGCCAAGTCTTTATTTCTAAATCTCCCGACTACAACAAAACACCCCTAAATATGAAAATCAAAATGCAACTGTTACTTGTAGAAAAAAAATAGAAACCAGCCGTGAGGCAATCTAAAAGCTCCAATTAGTGGGACATGTTAAACAGATACTGTGAATGCTTTCAGTGACTTAAAGAAAAGCATCACCACAATGAGAGAGCAGATGAAGAAAGAACTGCAGCTCAGAAACTAGAACTATTCACTAAGAAGGGAAAGAAAACCCGGAGATTTCAGAACCAACGGTTAAATATATGAAATGAAAGTTTCACTGGATAGACTTAACAGAGACACAGATGAAACAGAAAGTACCAGCTCACTTCGAAATAGATGAAAGAGTAGAGTACAAAAATGCATCGAGCCATCTATCTATGTCTCCCTGATGGTTTAATGAAAATCAGAACAAAAGTGCATCAAAACCCAGTCAGGATAATTCCAAGAAATGACCTCCAGGCACATTACAGGCAAAGTACTGCAAAACCAAATGTAAAAAGAAAAATTCAAAGCAGTTGGCAGAGAACAGTAATGCAACAAGCAGCCATGTAAGTTATAGCTAATCCCTCATCCAAAGCAGCTACCGCCAGAAGACAATAGAGACATGCATTTAAAATGCCAGTTTAAAGAATGGACTAGGGGGGCAGTGGGTCTGGGTCCCCACACTGCCAACCCAATATTATACATTACTCAAATATCCTTCAAAACTTAGTAAAGTGCTGGCAAGATGGCTCACAGTTTTGAGTGTGTACTGCTTTTGTAGAGAACCTGAGTGTGACGCCTATTACTCCAGTTCAAGGAGCTCTGGTACCCTCTTCTGGCCTCTTTGGGCACTGCACTCACAAGCATAAACACACACACACAGTTAAAAAAATAAAATATTTTTTTATGAAGGCAGTAGAGGGCCAGCAAGATGGCTCAGTGGGTAAGCATGCTTTCTGCCAAACCTGATGACCTGAGTTTGGCAAAAGCCACACAATGAAAGGAGAGAACTAATTCTTGCATGTTGTTCTGTTACCTTTGAAATGTGTGCACATGCACACACACACACACACACTACACACACAAATAAATGAATGTAACAAATATATTTAGTAAAAGCAATAGAATTTCTAGGATAATAAAATGTGGACGATTATTTCTTTCTTTTTCTTTTTCTTTTCTTCTTTTTTGAGACAGGGTTTCCCTTTGTAAATCAGGTGTCCTGGAACTCGCTCTGTAAACCAGGCTGTCCTCAAACTCACAGAGATCCACTGGCCTCTGCCTCCCGAGAGCTGGGATTAAAGGCTTGCACCACCACCCAGCTGATAATGATTTCTTGAGGCACAAGAGATGATTATCTTAATTCTCTCAGGTGAAAAGGAGAGACATCAGATGAAAATCCGGGCCTACACAAATGAAAGAGAACAATAAGTATGTGAGTAAACACAAAAGACTATAATTTTTGTAATTTTCCCACTTTATTTTTTAATATGGAAATTTAAGGAAAATACTCCTGCAGTGATGTTTTGCCCATGAAGTTGCACAGTGCAAACTCTGAGACATCTCTGATCGGTCAAAGATGTACAATGTCTAAGGCAACAACTTTACAGAATATAAAGATATAGCTAAAATGGATGAATTCAAATGAGACACTAAAAAGCACTCACTAGTATAAAAAATGGAAAGATACAAAAACAGAGCAAGTTTAAAGGAAAAAACAGGCCAAAAGCTGGCCGCACCAATATTCACTTGTATGTTCATAGTCTAAACTCACCTCAGTCAAGAGACAGCAATCACTAGTTATGTGGGAAACAAGGGGCATCTATATGTTGCCTGTGAGAAACTCTAGTTATGAACATATGGACAGCTGGAAAGAAAATGGATGAGAAAAGATATAGATACAGAGAGTGGAGCTAAAAATTGTGCTTGCTTTAAGTCCAGGTACTATAGACTCTGTAAAGAAGATCAACAGGGCCACTGAAACTGACCAAAATCTGGGTATGGTGGTACACATCTTTAATTTCAGTCCTCAAGAGTTAGAGGCAGGCAGATCTCTGTGAGTTTGGGGCCAGCCTGGTCTACATAGTGAGTTCCAGGCCAGCTAGGACTATGTAAAGAGACCCTGTGTCAGACTGCCTGCCCCAGGTGATCAAGAATCGTTTCATCAAGAAGACTCCGAATTACAAGTGTTGTGAGCCTGTCCAAATTAACAGTCCTTCGAAACACAGAACTAACAGGAGAAATGGATTCAAATCCTATCAGGCATTTTAACATCTTTTTTTTTGGCTTTTGGAGACAGGGGTTCTCTGTATTGTTTTGGAGGCTGTCCTGGAACTCGCTCTGTAGACCAGGCTAGCCTCAAACTCACAGAGATCTGCCTGCCTCTGCCTCCCAAGTGCTGGGATTAAAGGCATGTGCCACCAACGCCCGGCAACATCTTTCTTTTAGTAACTGATACAATCAACATAAATCCCAAGACTCTAGGACAAACCAGAGTATTAAGGACACTATCCTGATAGGCATTCATAGAACTCCGCACTCAACTACTGTAGAATAAATAGTACATACAAGGCAGGCCCATAAAACACATCAATGGATTTTCAAAGATGTGATATATTTTCTGATGTCAGTGGAATTAAACTAGGGATAGATGATAACACATTCAGAAAATCTCCAAACATTTCAGTGGAATTAAACTAGAGATAGATAACAATACATTTGGAAATTAAACAACGCACATGCAACGTGTTATATATAAGGAAGAAATATAAGATAAATCCAATTACATTTAGTAATTTTTGATATTAGCAAAATACATCATACCAAATTTTTAATAATATTTTCTGGGTATGTGGCACATACTGTATTACAGTTAGGAGGATCAAAGCTCAAAGCTAGCCTGGGCTATACAGTGAGTTCAAGGCCATAATGAGATCCAATCTCAAAAGCAAGAAAACCAAAAACTATATGACTTAGTTGAAACACCACTTACAGGAAAATGAAGAGATTAAAAGTATGTGGAAAGGAGGAAACGTTTACAGATGAACATCTAAGTTTCTGCCTTAAAATGCTAAAGGAAGCTGAGCTAACTAAAATGGAAAACACATAGGAGGTTAAAAAATAAGGGCAGAGTTCAGTGAGATAAGAAGCCAGTGATGAAAAACATCGACTAATCAACAGTCTGTCCTTTGGTCTGATTAAGTCTGATAGCCAAGGAAAGAGAGAGAAAATACAAATTAACAAGACCAGAGACTGGGGAAATGGTTCAGTGGGCAAACATTGGCTGCTCAAGTGTTGGGTAGCCTGTGCTACAACCCTGGTGCTCTGATGGTGAGATGGTAGGTGGAGACAGGAGAATCCCTGGTAGCTCAGGGTCATCTAGCCTGGTGCACACAGTGCAAAACAAAGACAGGCTCTCAAACAAGGTGGAAACAAGAACCAACAGTCAAAGTTGTCATCTACTCTCCACACATGCGCAGATGTATTCATGCACCTGAACACACACACACACACACACACACACACACACACACACACACACACACACCTAGTCCAAGCTGGGATGGTGGTGCACACCTTTAATCCCAGCACTTGGGAGACAAGAGACAAGGGATCTCTGTGAGTTCAAGGCCAGCCTGGTCTACAAATCGAGTTCCAAGACAGCCAGGGCTGTTGCACAGAGAAACCCTGTCTCAAAAAACAAACAAACACCAAGTCAGAAGTAAAATAATATGTGTCTGTAAATCCTAGATACATTAAGAGTACAATAATGGCTGGGTATGCGGTTCAGCAACAGAGTGCTTGCCTAATTTGTATAAACCCTGAAGTTTGATTCCCAGCAACATACAGACCCAATGCAGTGGCACATGGCAATTCCAGAACTTCAGACGTGGAGGCAGGATTGGGATTCAAGGTCTTCCTTGGCTATATAGGGAGTTTAAGGCCAATTTAGACTACTAGAGACACTGTTTCAAAAAATAAATAAATGATGTGAGATGTCCTTCCATATGCTGAGAATATGCTTTGCTTTTATTGGCGGATGAATAAAGCGGTTTCAGCCAATGGCCAGGAAAAATATAGCTAGGCAGGAAATCCAAGCAAAGATGCAGAGAGGAGGAAGGCGAGTCAAGGAGACACCATGTAGTCACTGAAGGAGTAACATATTGGAGCATCACCAGTAAGCCATAGACTCGCGGCAATGCCCAGATGAATAGAAACTGATTGGTTTATAGGAAGAGCTAACCAGTAAGAAGCCTGAGCTATTGGCCAGACAACTATACTTTAATATTAAGTCTTAGAGTATTAATTCATGTGACTGCGGGGACCCGGTGGGCGGGAGAGAAACTGGTCCAGTGGGACCAAGCAAGACAGAGGAAAACGTTCACTACACACAAACGCTAATGAAATAATATTTTGAAAATCTTTGTAAAAATACACTTCACATCCCCAGAGATGAAACTGAACAATTCTTTTTCAAAAAGTTACCCAAACTTCTGCAGAATGAAGTAGAATATCTAATTTCCTTATATGTACATGAAAAGATTTAATCCTGTTAAAGCCCTTCAATTCACACAGGCACTGTCGTGTGTACACTGACAGTCATTTAAAGAAAAGCTATCTTTCACAAACTCTAGTTTGATAAAGTCTGCATAATCCTGACATTCAAATCTACAAACTATTCTAAGACTGTCACTGACCACTATCTCTCATGAGCGCAACCCAAAAATCTTTATAAAAAACTGACAAGTGGAACCCAGCACTACAGGAAGACAACACCACGCAGTAGCAGATCTGCATCAAGAAAGGAACATTTTAAAAGTCTGTGTGTGTGTGTTCTAGCTCTAGTCCCATTTCTGTGGCTGTGATAAAACGCTCTGGCCAAATACAACTTTAAGGACAAAAGTGTAGCATGAATAATAAAAGACCCAGAGACTGACATTGGGGCTCAAGTTTCAAGTTGAGGATCAGAGAAGCAAAGCAGTCAGCCACTAGCTCTTACCTCTCCCTCAGGCTGAAAGGGCTGGTCTGTCTCCACAGATCCTCAGAGTGCAATGCTTCATCCACAGATTCTCAGAGGCAAAAGCTCTGAGTTCCTTTTTCCTCCTGCTTTATGTTCCTCTCTCCACCCAGCCGTATCTCTCCTGTCTCCACCTCCCTAAGAGCTGGGATCAAAGGTGTGAGCTCTGTTACTTTTTACTTTTGTGTAGGTCAGGGTGGCCTTGGACTCAGAGAGATCCATGTGCTTGTCTACTGAGTCCTGAGATTAAAGGTGTGTTCCACCACTACCTGGCTCTATGGCTAACCAGTATGGATGCTGGAATTAAATGTGTGTGTTACCGTTACCTGACCTCTATGGCTTGTGGCTAGTTTTGCTTTCTGAACCCCCAGAAAAGCTTTAATAAATCATAAACAATATATCACCACGCAAAGGATTTATTTAGCTTGCAGTTGTCATCCATCTCTGAGAAGTCAATACAGGAACTCAAACAGCTAATCACAATCACACCCACAATCATGAGCAGAGAGAAATGGAGGCGCTCAAGCTGGCTACTGCTTACAACATAGTTTTCATCCAGTGTTCTCCTATGTCATGTAGCTCAAGAACCCCTGACTAGGGAATGATGCTACCCACGATGGACTCAGGCTTCCTACATCAATAAACCATCAAGACAAAGCACCCCCAACCCAGACATGTGCACAGGCCAACCTGATCTGGGCAATCCCTCCACTGAAGCTTTCCTTCCAGGCAATTCCAGGCTGTGGCAAGTTGACATTGAAAATTAACCATCCCATCACAGAATGGATAAAATTACATGATCAAAGGAAATTGGCAAAATTAAACATTCATTTGATATTGAAACCTTTAGCAAATGAGGAACAGAAAAGGACTTTTGGAATCTGACGTCCATCTATGAAAACTTTACAAGTGAAATTCCTGCTAATGGGGAAATATTAAGCATTTTCTACTTGAAGCCAGGAATTGGACAAAGATGTCCGCCACAGTATCATGTTCATTCTGTTTCTGGATGTCTTCACCCTAGCCATAAAGCAAGAAAATAAAAGACACAAGGAGGAAACAGGATAGTATAGCTATCCAGAGACGATGATCTGTTTAGGAAACCCTAATAAAGACATCAAATGACTGTGACCTCTGAGTGAATTGGACAAGGTCAACAGCATGAAAGATGAATATTCGGAAATCAATTGAATTTCATGTGTGAATGGCAAATATTCGATGTGAACACAATAAGAACTGTTTACAACAGTCCAAAAATTGAATACTTTGAGACAGTCTTGAGGAAATATATACCAGACTGTGACATTGATGACAATAACCATGCATTGGTGAGAAACATTTCCAACTAAGTGATGGAGAGAGATGCCATGTTCACAGATCCTGGGTTCAGTCCCCGGGGTCATCAAGACGTCAGCACATCATCTGGCCACTGACTTGATGTAACCTCAGTAACAAAATAGTGGCATCATCACATTTTTTCAGGCTGCACTGTTAACTCATCGACTGCTGAGTAACTGTCTAATCAAAATAAAGACACCAAGTTTTAAGTAATCTCCATCTTAGAGAGAAGCTGTAAGACTGAAAACAGTACGTGGTGTCTGCATGCACCCTTGCTGCACTCTCTCCCATGGCCCCTCTTCCTCCACACCACAGTTTCCTCTAGAAACGCTCTGAGTATAGGTTGCACGCATACCTACACTATGGCTCTCTCCCCCTAAGTATTTCCCTGTTCTTTCCTACGTGGGGTCTTACATCACAGTTTCCTCTAGAAACGCTCTGAGTATAGGTTGCACGCATACCTACACTATGGCTCTCTCCCCCTAAGTATTTCCCTGTTCTTTCCTACGTGGGGTCTTACATCACATTTTAGTACATCTAAAACTGGTGAACTACCTGTGCTTCACTAGTCCCAATTTGGCCCGGATAGAAACCTTTCATCTCACTGCTGATTGACTCAGTAGGGAACTTAGTGCATGATTTCCCTTCAGTTTGGGATACAAACTGGAGTGAGGGATTGCATTTTAATTGTCTCTTTTAATACGGAATATGCTCCATCTTTTACCTTCTGTAACATTTACATTCATTCTCTTCAGAAAAACGAATGTTCCTTTTAAAATTGTCTCCTGTATCTCCCCATGGTTGGATCAGACTTAGGAGCCTGGGCTATGATGCTGTACCCTTGTTGTGGGAGAGGGGACAGTGCCCAGATCAGTGATGGCAGGTGCTTTGATCACAGAGAGATGGTGTTCCCAAGTTCTTGCAGTTATAACTGTTTTCCTTTCCAAGTGGTGCTATGATGGGGAATGTGCTTCTGTGTATATGTTTCTTTTACTGGTTTATGAATAAAACACTGATTGGTTAATTGGCCAGTCAGGAAGTGACATAGCTGGGCAGAATCAGGATATAAGCAGGGACAAAGAGGAAATTGCTCTCTTCTCTGAGTAGATGCTGAGCAGTCATCATGTAGTAGGCAAAGGAGTTGCAGGTCCAGCATTCCCAGGTAAGATAAGACCACATGGAAATACTTAGATTAATAGAAATGGGTTAATAATTAAGCCAGAGCTAGCCAATAAGAAGTCCAAGCTACCAGCCAACAGTTTCATAATTAATATAAGTCTTATGTGTTTATTTCATACTTACATGGCTGTGGGACTTTAACAGTGCTATCTCAGTGTGGAGGGGGGCAGCTTAATACCCTGCTCTTTGCACAATAATAAATGTCTTCCATACCTAGACTAGGCAGAGATCTGCCTGCTCTGCCCCACCCCCACCCCAAGGACAGGGACCAAAGGCATACATCATCACATCCAGCCTTGACAAAATATTCTTAAAAGCATCAGATGCATGAATAGGAGAGAAGATAGTGCTTTCTTACAGGAGGTCACTTACTTAGCATAAAGGGAATCAGAGCTGGGGAGCTAGGAGTGATGACAAAGCTATCCTTTGCTCTGATGAGGGACAAGCTGTCCACACAGACTTGAAACCTGTCCCCACAGGTGACTTATTAGGTGTAAAACAACAGAGAAGGGTAGATAGCACTTCAGCCGTGCAGAGAGGTAACAAAGCCAGAGCGGATGAACCCCAGGTAGCACACACGTGACAGCACAGACATGCAGCATGTTGGCCGCATGTCTGCCATGAATGTGGGATGTGGGCCTATCTGGATTGTTAGAGAACATACTTGGCACACTATTTGGCCATTAGTCTTCAGCAGGGTTATGGTCCTGAGAGACAAAGAAAACCAGGGTCATTCTGTGTTAAAGAACACCTAAAGACCTGGTGACAAATGCAATCCTGTTCCTGGATTGAATCGGGACTGGAAAAGTACGTCTGCTAAGAACTAGGCTGTTTGGCAGGACTTAATTTATGTGATATAGTCCCCATTACTCAGGAAGCTGACTTGCAAGGACTGACATCCAAGAATGTCCTTTGATTCTCCAATGTAATATATATATATATATATTTCATACATTTACAAAACAATAACTGGGCTGCAGCTCAATATTAGAGTCTGTGTTTCCAGCATATCAGAGGTCCTGCATTCAAGCTTCAGTACTGTAAGGGTAGAGGCTAGATTGTTAGGTCAATTGATAAAATTTGGCAATAGCTTTGGGTTAGAAAATGGAATTAGGAGCTTGAGGTATGGCTCAGTAATTAACAGCACCTGTTGTTCCTGTAGAGAGCCCAGGTTCAGTTTCCAGCACCCACATCAGGCAGCCCACAACTGCCTATATCTCCAGTTCCACAGAATCAGACATCTTCTGGTCTCTCTGGGACTGCACATACAGACAGACAGCTACACACATACACATGAATTAAAATGAATTTTTAAAATAAGAAAATGAATTATGTCCATCCTTGTGTTGTTGTTAGGTAAGAGTATATGTTTTTGATCATAGGTGAGATATAATAAAAAAACTTCACTCAAGAGTATGTATGTGCATGTATGCAATAGATACACATGCATACACGCAATGGATAAGCAAGGAATTAGTGACACATGGATTAATGAGCAAACAGTAAGATACAAACAACTGAGGAATCAATCGTGGTAAAGGATATTCAATAATTCTGTTGTTCAACCAACGCTTCTGCAGATTTGAAGCTATAACAAAATGTAAAAGCATCCAGGTAGGGCTGAAGAGACGACTTAGCAGTTAAGAGCACTTGCTACTCTTGCGGAAGACCTAGGTTCAATTCCCAACACATACATAGAGGCTCGCAATCATCTGCAACTCCAGTTGCAAGCCATCTGGTACCCTCTTCTGGACGCTGCGGGCACTGCAAGCACATGACACACATACATGGCAAAACCTACACATAAAGTTAAAAAAAACTTAAAAAATACAGTAAAAACATCTGGTCACAGTTCAATAACAACAATAAAGGGGAAATATGTGGAAAGCACAGAGCCTGGGGCAAGCCCATCATCACAGCTGTTCTTGTCCTCATACGAGACAAAACAGGAGGAGTTGAGGGTGTAGACAAGTGACCCAGCTAGTCTACAGCTAGCTCTTCCTTCATCAAGATGGCGAGATGGCTGCCATAGCCAAAGGCTTCTCTTGTCTAGGACCCAAACCAGCAAGAGACCACCAATGGTTCGATTGTTTCAACTTAACATGGTTCGAATCCCATTTCTGAATCAATCAATTAATCTACCTAGAAACATAATGCCCACTATTTGGCTCAGGCAAAAATTAAATATCCTATTCTTAGAGTTGTTGAAGAGCCCACCTCCAGTTTTAATGGATTGTCCAAAGTCAAAATGGGAGCTGCCTGAAGAGTAAATGGATACTGCGGTTTCCAAGTCAGCCTGACTGAGGACCAGGCATCAGTGATTGACAAGGATGCACCTGTTTCTCTTCTCATTCTCCCTTTATGCTAGTGTACACACCCAAACCTCAAACCATGGATACCTGAACCAAAGGGAACCTGTCTACAGGCTTGGCCGAGAGAAAGCCAATGTGAATCTGCCTGTGACCTAGTAATGGCACAGAGCTGATTTCCACGATTCTGAGCTGGTCTGTGACTCGAACATGACAA